AATACCAATATGTAATATGTATGTGTTTACGGCACCACCATATGTCAATTCACTTAAGTATTAATAAAAGTTTGGGGTGGGTGCTACACCCAGGGTATCCCCTAAAAATTAAAAAAAAAAATAATTTGATATACTAACCAGATTATTTCTAGTATATTGAATTTGATTCATCCTGCTTATTCTAGTTGGTTATTTTTGTTGGATTAGCTATTCTGGCTAGCTCACTTTATATATATATTCAACTTTATTGTTAGTAGGTTACTTAATATGTTAAATTAGGTTCAAATTGCTTATTCTAGCCAGGTTATTATACTTATTCTAGCCAAATTATTTTAGTATGTTGAATTATATTTTACTTAATTATTTTAGCCAGTTTATTTGATTATTCTAGCCAGGTTATTTTGGTATATTGAATTAGATTTAATTTGGTTATTCTAATTTGATATACTAAAATAACCTGGATAAGTTTAATATGATTATTTTAGCCAGGTTACTGGTATGCTTCAATTTTGACTATTCTATCTAATTTATTTTGTTATATTGAATTATATCTATCTTATTTCATATAATCATCTTGGCATGTTAAATTAGGTTCGATTTTATTGTTTTAGTGAATCATTTTGTTAGTGTTGGATTAAGCTTTACTATGATTATTCTAACCAGATTATTTTGGTATTTTGAGTTTACTTTTTCTAGCTAAGACTTGATATGTTGAATTATGTTCAATTTGATTATTCTACCTGAATCATTTTATTGTATTAAATTAAGATTTAGCTTTATTATTCTGGCTAAGTTACTTGATATATGTTATGATCCTCACTAACAACAAATACAAATAGAGCTTACAGATTCCTTATTCGAATAATATTCGAATAATTTGAATTAGCAAATACCTATTCGAATATTTGCCGAATGAATAATGTTATTCGAATAACTCTAAATATTCAAATAACTCTAAATATTCAAATAACTCTAAATATTCGAATAACTCTAAATATTCGAATAATATTAGTTATTCGAATATTTAGAGTTATTCGAATATTTAGAGTTATTCGAATATTTAGAGTTATTCGAATATTTAGAGTTATTCGAATAACAAACGCTTATTCAAGTTTTGAGTTTGAAGTAGTATTTCGGGCGAAACCCAATTTTGCAGATCTTTAAATACCAATTTATTAATTCAACACGAGACAAAGTTATAAAAATAATTATACATATTTTTTTTTTTAAGTCCCGTGAGTCCTGTGATTACTTTGTCTTATTTTGAAAGACTTGTTTTAATAAAAAAATATAATGAAGCATAACAGAACTTCTTTTTAATTGGCTATCATATCAGATGATCTTCATCAAATATGATTGGCTGATTAAATATCGATAAATTAGTTGTCGATATATTGAAATACAGTATAAAAAATCTTTGGTATTCAATTTATGTTACGTAAACTTATTAAAGAACATATTTAATAGCTCTAATTATTATGGTTAAAAATTATGATGTGTAATATGATGTCCTAAAATTATTGATCATTAAAAGCATAATATCATCCAACATTATAATCTTTAATATTAATAATGTATTTTACTCTTTTTGCAATTTTTCAAACATAAATACAAATATTATCTATTCTATAGATTCTATTGTTACAGTTAATATAACCTGCACCTGTTTTTTACATTATACAGTACGCATTTTCATACATTCGTACCTACAAACTATAGCTAACAAAACCAATGCTTCTGATTGTATGCATCTCTTATAACTATTACGAACAACCTAAACGTTTATAAATAAGTGTTTTATAAGCATAATAGATAAATAAAATAAAAAAAGAATGCAAATATTGTATTAGTTGTTTAGCAATCATATAACTGAATATTCACCCGTAGTACATTTGTGTATACATTTATACATCCATACTTGTGTTTTATGAAAGTCATACAGATCGTGAGATGTGTGAGATGAGTTTTGACAAAACGTCTACGTTATAGCGACAGAACATCTCAGTAAAGTTTCGTAGAAATTGGACAATTTTTTGATGAATTGTCATATGATATACCCCTATTCTTTATGTTTTTGATATATAAAATCTTGTGTAATCATAATGCATAAATCAAACTTCCATCATGCTATACAACGAACATGAAAGTAGCTATCTACCTTATATTCATAGACTCAAAAAAAATTATGCAGATCGTTAATTCAATTTGAAAAGAACGATAAAATTAAAGATCTCAACTAGTTGGATAATGTTAAATAGTAGTTTTTTTTAATCCCATTTTTGTACAGTATCGAGACAGCTTTTGTCTTGAATCTATTCACCCGATCGAACATGTGACAGGCTGGTTATAGTCACATGTTCGATTGATCGTTTGTAATCATGTAGTAATTAGTAATGTGATCAGTGATGTAAATATAATTAAAATGATTTAGTATTATCAGTAAGTATGAAATAATTAAACATGAGATAATTGAGTAAGTGTGAGACAATTGGTAATCAGATCATAGTATTTTAGTAAGCATGAGAAAATCAATGTGAGCTAATTTGTCTTTTCAGCGAACCTGACTTTCATTCTGGTTACATCGATCCCTCTCCCCACCCCAAGATGGTACAACGTTTGTTTTCGACTGGCCTACTGAGACAGCAGCTATAAATTGTGGCCTGTTGGGACGACAGTTACATATGTAGGTAGGAAGTTTGTCGAGATGACATCATAGTCAAGAAAAAGAGAAGAAAAAAGATGATGCTCAGAAAGACTGCATAGGTTGCTTGATGGCAAAAGGGCAATACCTATTTATGTTCTTCATGATAACATACTCATAAATGAGAGACAAAACAAATTTAAGATCTTTTATTTAGTAAAATTTAAGATCCAATATGAAATAAATTTTTTACTAAAAAAAAACTTTAGGTCAAATTTCTAATCTCATTATCTTCTAATTTAAAAATATCAAATAATTTCATGTTTCTTTTCAAAAACAACATAGATGCCAACAACTCCGGCTTTAAGCAAGAACGACGGGCAGATAAATGAAGACCAGCATCAGAAAATAACCTTTCACTTGGTACAGAAGTGGCAGGAATTGATAAGTATTTTATTGCTAATCTAGACAAAACTGGTAAGATATTAACTCATTCTTTTCACTATTTTAGTATATTATATTCCTGAGCTTCTTTTGGCAGAGCTAAGTAACGAATAACTTCATTTGGCATATTACTTTCTTCTTCATCTGAATCATTAGATAGTCCAAGTAAAAAATAGTTAACTTGATTAACATTTGGTGGTTCATTCGTAAGTGATAACTTAGGTAAATTATTATATAAGTTATCAATCGATTCTTCTATAATAATAGCTTGTTCAATTTGATACAGCTCATTTAGTTTATTAACTGCCATATTACGTTAAGTCTCTGTAACAAACTTAAGCTTTTTGTATCAGGGTCCAACAATGCCGAAAGTAAAGTAATTTCCTTTGGAATGTCCCAATACTGGCACATGCTTAGATAAACTGTAGCTTTAATCTGTTCTAACATATTCGTAATAGTAACTGGTGGTTCAATAGTTCGATGTTTCTTAAACCGTGGATCAGAATTTTGCTGACTAATAACTGGTGTATTTTTATATTTTTGAACACGACCATGTAATATACTAAGAGATTGATCAGCACGAACTGCCAAATCAATAATTTCATCATCTGAATATATATTAGTTGATGAACTTTGACTTGCAGTTACATCTAATTCTCCATACAACAATTCTGCATAATAGTCTTCATCTTTATTATTTGGTGGAGCTATGGTTTTCTTAAGATAGTGTATGGTACAACAAACCATATTAAGCGTAGCATATGAAACCCCTGATAGCATTTTTGTTGCCTCATAAAAAGGTGCTAATACGGTTAGCATATCTGAAAGTAAACTAAAAATAAAATAGTTTACTATAATTAATAAAACAAAAATATAAAAAAACATAAAATATAAAAATTAAATTAATGGAATAATAAAATTACCTCCATTCCAAATCTGTCAAATTAATTCATTTCAAATAGTCAGCATTATCTTTATCATCCTTTTCTGAAGAAATTTTTAAAATGGTTATAAGGTAGAGTATAGCATTTTTTAGCTCAAGTAAACGTTTTCACACAATATACGTCGAATTTCAATAGGTACGAACATCCAAAAGAACTTCATACACCTTTTGATAGTTTAACTTGCACTGTGCATCTCTAAGATTTTCTGTATTCTTAGGACTACTATTAAAAAATAAAATAAGATTTGTAATACGTTTTTTGAATGCATCAGTAGCATTGAGACCTTTAGTTACACTTAAATGAAGTGTGTGAGCGGCGCATGGCACATGTGAAGTTTTCATTAACCGGATAGCTTTTATGACATTCGCACCATTATTTGTGGTAGTGGCAATTAGTTTTTGTTTAAGTTGAAATCGTTCAATTACTTTCTCTATTGCATTTTTAATATTTTCACCAGTATGCTTTCCATTAATTTTTTCACAAGCTAGTAATGCTTCTTTTAATGTCCAATCTTTAGGATCTATCTATCCAACTGTAACTTCAATATATAGTTCATCATTACGCGAAGACCACAGATCTGTAGTAATACTGACAGAATAAGTATCTTGTAATAATTCAGTAAGTTGTCTAGTTGATTGGGTATATGCATTAATAATCATACGTCGTGCTTTATCATCACTTGGAACTCTAAATTTAGGCAATGCTACTTCCATAAATGATTTAAAAGACTAGGACCGTAAAAGATAAAGTGGTTGACAGTCATCAATCATCCAAGTTAACATGGCGATTTCAATAATTGGCTGTTTTTTGCGAGCAGCCTTCCCGTGAGCAACTTCAAAAAAATCTTCAATATTTTCATCTTCCACCTAAATTTATTTATTATTAATAATTTTCTTAATTAAACAATATTAAAAAAAAAAAAACTTACATTGCCTGTAGGATTTTTTTTCGTGATTTCATGTTCAGTTTCTAAATGATATATTATATTGCTTGTAGTGCCGTGAAATTTATACTTTACACTTTTTCCTTTCCTATCACATATTTGGCATTGAGCATGGACCTTATTTTCTAAAACTATAAAATGATGCCATACGTAACTCGGATTATTTGAATTTTTAGTATTAAGTTGGGTTTCTTCTTGTTCACTAGTAGTACTATTGTTTTCTACATGCATATATTTTCGAACACTACTAACTCTGTGTTTATCTTTACTGTTTATACGAGACATTTTTATAAGCACAATATTTTTGAGACCAGTGTTTTTATTCAAAAAAAAAAAAAAGCTCACCTTTATAATTGTATCATTATAAAGGTAATGCAGTTTGACTTTTTTTTTTTTGAGATTCATACGATTTTAGTCGTCTTGGATACATGTGCTAAATTACTTATATTAAACTTGTAAACATGTTGCTTATCAATAATATCTCTTCCCCATATAGATTTTACAAGGAATTTAAATATAAAAATTTCTCTTATTTAAAACTGATACCAATATTCTTTAAATATATAAATACCATGCGTAAAAGAATTTAAATAACCTGGTTTTATTCCTAGGTACGTACGTACATTACAGCATTATTTATGAAACAAATACTGAAATAGCTATTTTATGCTTATGCTAAAAACTTATATAGGGCATCCAAGAATCTTGTACGTATATATCATGCAATTTTTGCTATAAACTTTATATATAGTACAGAAGCACAAAACTTATATTAAAATAAAACTGGTTCTAGAGCTAAACTTTAATTTAGAATATGATGATCTTATTCGAATTTAGGCATCTTATTTGAATAATTGTTATTATTCGAATAACGATAAGTTACACTTATTCGAATAAGTTACACTTATTCGAATAAGTTACACTTATTCGAATAAGATTTGTTTATTCGTATTATTTGCCAAATAATTATTTGAAACATTTTAAACTGTTATTCGAATATTTGCCGAATACGACTATTATTCGAATAACGAATACAAATAAGAGGCTCTATTCTGAGACACTTTTTTGGCACCCTGGGTACTAAAATAGTCATCTTTCTTTTTTCATGTCTCTGTAAACCTATATTTTATAAAAACTCTTTAGTATCTATATAAAAACCTAGGTACTAAAAATTATATAGCTAAAACTCACTATTTTTATATTTTATAATCAAATTAGATGACGACAAATAATTAATCTTATCGTCGCACCTGATAACATATACTATTCATCCATATATAAATCAAAGTACCAAAAATTAAGTATCTATTTTCCTTTTATAATA